AAGAAACATACTTAAAATTGTTCGAAGTAACATGCATAAGAATGTTGTTCTTAATACGAAGACAGAATTTAATGCCATCCTGCTTCATGTTAAGTTTATTATTGAGAGTTACTATTTCATTTTATCATGTTAATTATTCACAAACCGCAGTTAGTTATTTTGTTATAATTTTTGCAGTATATTTATTGCATTCATCGGAATACGCATTTTAATCACAGGAATTATCCAAGAGAGGCTTACGAAGAAATAAATTAGCATACCTGATCATATATGGGAGCACTTGATGAGTGTAATACAAGAAATTCCCACACGGGTTAATCCACTATACGCAAACAAACATTGCAAATAATACCAATTTCAAAATTTATTTTCTTTTCGAGAATCACTTGGATTTTTAGCGGTTTGACCTAATGATCTAATTTGCATGATTCAATATCTTTGCTTGTTTACATGTGCAATTATTGTTAAATTTTCTATTTGCATATAAATTGCATACATTGGAAATACTTATTTGCACAGATATAAGGACCGCTAACAGACAGTAATCAATATTTGCAATGATAACTTATGTTTACATACTTCTTCATTTTTACATACTTTCAATATAGTATCTAGTATTTTACATAATATTGATATGATCTCGCATATTTTTATTTGTCATACAGACAAAAGTATCCGTTATAGTATACATTTTTCATTATTTTTCGAATGTACATTATTTTTCATGGGTATTTTGTACGACATATATAGGCTTACAATATACTATGAATATTAAACAAATATACAAAATGTTCGTATTCATGTACAAAAAAAGCAACATGTTTTTTTTTTAAAAAAGTACAAATTTCTCTAAAGAGATAATTAACTTTCCGTAGGGCAAGTTATAGTAATCGCAAAAAATCGAATTTTTTTTTATATATATATTTACGTTTCAAAACCTTCTGAACATTTTGGCATATCTTAAAAAAATGGATGTATTTGTGTGTGTGTATGTGTATATGTGTGAGTGTGTGCGTGTATGTGTGTGTGCGCGGATACAAATTTTCGTCGACGATTTCGGGAACACGGATGAAGCGATTTGAATAATTCAAAAAACATTCGATTCGTATTGATAAGAAAACGTGGTGGTTAGTTCTTGGCGATGACAAGTCTAGTCGTTCCGAAGATTTGGGGCAAAAGTGCCAAAAACGGTAACTCAGTTTTTAAGGGAACGGAGCGTCCGATTTGAATAATTCAAAAAACATTTTACTTGTGCATGAAGGCAGGTATAGCGGTTTGGGAGATCTAGTAAAAAAAGTTAAAAAAAAATGCCATTTGGCGGTCAAAAATGATCATTAGACATATGCACATCAAATTATCAGATCTTTTATAGAAATTTTAACAATAAGAATAAATTTTGTTTACATTCCTATGGGTTCCGTACCAACGTTCATCCGTTAGTCCTCACATATTTTTATTTTACTTATTTTATTATACTTTAACTATTCAATATTAAATAGGTGCAGGTTGTAATAATTTTTATTTAAATTAATATATCGTGAAATCTACTGATTATATTTATATGAAAGAATGATTGATATATTCTATAAGTATAAATGCAACAATAAAAATATACATATGGAAATAATTAAATATATATATATATATATATATATATATATATATATATATATATAAAGATATTCCCATGTATAAAAATATATATGAAATTTTGTTGATTATAAAACTTTACAAAATGCCATAATCATTTGTTGCTCTCAAATTTACTCTTAGCTCACTTGATTCCCACTCAGTGTTGTTATCACACTAGTTCAAAGATGCCCGAAAACACGTTATATTTATTTGGTGGGAATTCAAATTGTAGCAGTGTCGTGAATTTGACATCTTCTAGCACGTGAAATCTTACACAAATTTATTAAGGTATGAACACAATCGTAGTCCACCACAACTGGATAAGAGTCATCTGGCATAATCAGTGAAGTTAGTAAAATATTATACGAACTTGTCGATGGAATTTCTCGGGCAGTTTTCTTTCCATGGTAGACAACTTGGATGAAGTATATAAATGCAGTTTTAAATACAACATAAATCCAGATCCAGCTCCAAAATCTTAAGCATCAAAAGACGATTTGGCGAGTTAAAGGACAAGCAGAGGCTGAATCGCGATTCCAATAAACTTTTTGGTGGTGATTTCAGTTTATGACCCAAAGTCTTGGCGTAAATAGGACGGCAAGACACTAATAGTCAGAACTAATTATGGTGTAAGCGATAACCCGAGATCTGGAAATACTGAATAAGTATGCTAGACGGAAGTCAAATGCATCAGCATTTACTAGCCCTTTTAAGTAGCCAACAGAAGACCAGTGATTAGGACGTTGCACCATAGCCTATATTTTATAAATTCTTAAACCATGCTCAATTGCTATCTTCATTGTAAATGTCGTCAGTGATTCTCAGCAGAGGGGTACGCCTGCTGTTCGCAGGCTTATTGTTCCTAAGTCATTGGTCTAGACACAGATCAAACAAATTTTACGATCACTAATCAAATAATATTGAAATTACCAAAAATATAATATTTCGACTATAAATTGAGATTTTTAGCCTACCGCCTAAGTTGGATATGGATGCTCACGGTGAACAAATCAAATTTTAAATCTGTTCAGTATTTTAGGTATTCATTGCGGCCAAACAACAGGTCTGGTTCAGTCAAGTCTTAACATCATGGTTCGTTTCAATACCGCAAAACTTTTGCTGCAAGAATAAACAATTTCTGCACGTTTTTTGGGTGTAAAGCGACACATATTGATGGCGCACCTTGAACCCCCAAGAAAATCTGCGCTATTTTTCGGGGAAAAAATTAATTGATTCATATTATTTATCCGAATATACAGCCAAATTAATTGGCTCATTATTATTTTTGTGGCTAAAAATATGGACGTTGACGAAGTTAATATTAAGATACAACAATTTACAATTTAGTATACAATTACCATGCGATATGATGTCTTTTAAATCTGTTGTAAATATTGTTCATAACTGTTATTATTATCATTATTATTATTATTATTATTATTATTATTATTATCTTACTATTTCTATTATTGTTATTTTGTTATATTTTATTATTTTCCAGGTATTATTTTATTATTCAGAAATTTTATTTATAATATTTATTAATTTTATTTTTATTATTATTTGCTTCTATTTTATATTAAATCATCATTTACGGATATTATTTTCATGTAAATTATATCCTTTGCATTCTTATTTATTTAAATTTATGTTATTATTTATCAATATTACTAGATGTTAATTATTTAACAGTTGTAATAATTATTGAAATTAAAAAAAAACTATTTTTAATGAAAACAAAATTGTATATTATCCGACGATGTTTTTCAATTTAATAGGATATCATCATATAATTTGCCATTGAAGATTTATTCTTACGTGTAGTTTGAATACTCCGAGATTATGCAATGATACCCGTTCGGTCAACAGGAAGATAATAGGAGATATATTTGAAGCAACAAGATTAACTGGGAGGTTTAATGTGCATTTCTGGACTGGATTTAGAATATCAATATTTTTAGGTTCAGAAATGTGGGCTAAAACGTGGACGAAAATTTTTTCACTTTTCTGCGATTTACAAAGAAACGGCTTGTCCTCATTTTTTTACGGTAGATATCATAGTCTTATAGATCATACTAAAATATTACGGCCCTACGACAACTCGTCTAACTTAAAAAAATCGCCAAAGTTTGCAAAAATTAGTATCGTTGTTTTGGTATTTGTCAAAATTAGACCTTCCTTCGACTTTTGCTCAAAAACGCCTGAAGCGATATCAGATATTTAAAAGCCATTCGATGTATCTCAATGAGAACTATCGCTTGTCAGTTTTGTGCGACGATCTGCCAAGCTGAATCTTTGTAATTTGGAAAAAACTTTTCGTTCACATTAAATCATACTACCGATTCGACTTTAAAAAATCATAAACTGTACGAAAGATATTAGTTGGTAATGATACTGATTAGTTTTAGATGAAAATCTGCCAAGTCGTTTTATTGTAATAATCTGTTGAAAAAAATTTAAGCCGATTTTTATGGAACTTTTTTTTGTGATATATATCATGGTCTTATAAAACTTACTAAAATATTGCGGCTTTACGATAAGTAGTTTAATTTAAAAAATCGTAGTTAAAATTAAAATTTGACGATTTATTTGGTACCATAGAGTATTTGGTCTTAATGAACATACTAAACCATTAGTCCTACGGAAACTGGTTCAGTTATAAAAATTGTTGATTTTTGAAAATTTGGTTTTAGAAAATATTCTTAGTTAACGTGTTCGTTCGTTTTCAATTGTGTGTACTAAATCTACTCGGAAAACTTTTAATCTCTCATAAATTAATTAATTTTTATTGATTAAGTCGATTATTTACACATATCGGGAAGTTCATGTGACTTGCCTCAAGGTTATATACCAACTAGTTTAAAAAAGTTCTTGAAACGTATTTAAAAAAAATGAATATCAAATTTGTAATTACTTTACAAAATCTTACAAAAATTTATGGGAAAATGTTGTTCGAAAATAATTATTTGAATGGAAAAATATTTTGATGAGGTATTACTTTATATGAATCTTAAGATAATAAGTAAAATAGTTATAGAATAAATAATATATTTTTGTTTTTTTATTAAAATAATACTTTTTTATTAAAATAATACATACACAGTGTTACGTAATCAACTAAAGGATTCAATAATATATCAACATAAAATAGATTAAATAGAATATATTCAGTAGATTTAGTTAAAAGCCGCTGCAAAGCGTAGCCGAATTTGCTATTATATACATACATATGTATAACAAATGTATTCTGATATATATGTATATATAAATATATATATTATTTTTTTATATATTATTTGTCTATTATTTGATTTATTATTTGAGCCTAATCGATTTTATTTTCTGGTGATAGTATTTTCTACATTTACTTCACCCATAGCGTAAGGTTTCTTTGCGGCTGTAACGAGGTAAAAAGCGCCTCGCGCGCTTTTGTCCAGCCTGTCTCCCATGACTACTTCTTCGCCGGTTTCGCATTTCCCTGTTATAAAGGCGCGCCAGTCGACACATCGTCGAGCCAAAAACTCTCGCGATATGACGGATTCAGCAAAGAATTCATGAGCTCTGCCGTGACTGCAAGCCTCTGTTGTAAAAAGAAATGATTTAAGTTGTTGCTGTAATGTCACAATATTTTAGTTTAAACTTGCTCTAAGTGGAATTCTGTCTTAAGACAATTAGGGCATCGTGCCTTGAGGCAAATTGCTGGCACTTCCCGTACCGCAATTCAAAATTCGAATAATTAAAAATAATCAATAATAATAATCAATAAAAGTTGATCAATGATTTGAAACTTTTAATAGAATTTTGAACCATATTAAATCATTTATTTTAAAATATTGTGGAAATTCTGAACTATTTTTCAAAGCAATCGTACTGCATAGTGACGAAATATAGATGCGCGTAAGCGCCGCGTCGCCGTCTAACGCGTAAACATTGGTACGGAACCCTTAGGAATGTGAATAAAATTTATACTTATTGTTGAAATCTCTATAAATTATCTGTTTCTTTGATGTGCATATGTCTAATGTTCATTTTTGACCGCCAAATGGCTCATTTTTTTAGTTTTTTCTCCATATCTCCAAAGTCGTTAGACCTGCCTTTCCAAAAATTTGAACAGTTTTTCATTTTGTCAATACAAATAAAATGTTTTTTGAATTATTCAAATCGGAAGCTCCGTTCTCTTAAAAACTGAGTTACCGTTTTCCGCACTTTTTGTCTTGTATCTTCGGAACGGCTAGACTAGCCTTTGCCAAAAACTAATCAGCACGTCTTCTTATTAATATAAATCGAATGTTTTTTGAATTATTCAAATCGGTTGATCCGTGTTCCCAAAATCGTCGACGAAAATTTGTATCCGAACATACATACGCACATACACACACACACATACAAAATACCAAAGAATAGATGCAATAGTTGACCCAATCTTAGCAGACAATCAGTATGGTTTTCGCAAAGAGCGATCAACTATTGATGCTATAAACTTGGTAGTTAATACCGCCAAGGAGGCAATTGCTGGAACCCAGGGGTGCGAAAAAGTACTGCCTTGTAGCTACATTGGATATAAAAAATGTTTTCAATTCTGCAAACTGGGATTGCATTATGAATGCACTCCGTGACAAGAACGTGCCAGCATACCTCTGCAATATAGTCGCAAGCTCCTTTACAGAGAGAATTCTAATGTACGATTCACGCGATGGTACAGAAGAATATAATATAACAGGAGGTGTGCCGCAGGGCTCTGTTCTAGGCCCTTTGCTGTAGAATGGTATGATGGCCTATTGAGACTAGAGATTCCAGAATGTGTGAAACTAGTAGCATATGCTGACGATGTTGCCATAGTAGTTGTCTCCAAACAAATTGATGACATCGTAAGTCTATTCGATATTACATTTAGAAAAATTAATCGGTGGATGGGAACAATGAATCTCCAATTAGCACAATAAAAAAGTGAAGCTGTTTTTATCACTAGTAGGAAAACAATAGAGACCATCAAGCTAAAGATAGGAAATCTTGAGATCACGTCAAAACCTCACATCTGTTACCTTGGCGTAATGCTTGATGCTCGTTTGAATTTCAATCAACAAGTGGAACACGTTAGTGCTAAGGCGTCAATAGTTAGGACGAAACTTGCTCGACTGATGCCTAATATTGGAGGTCCTAAACAAACCAGAAGGATATTACTATCGTCAGTTGTTACTTCTGTGCTGACATATGGTATCTCCATATGGGCTGATGCTCTTAAATCTCAAAAATCAAGGAGAATGGCAGGGCCCTTATATCGTCTCAGTGCTATAAAAATTGCTTGCGCATTTCGCACAATATCGGCGGAAGCAGTGTGCGTGATTTCAGGAACTGTGCCTCTCTTAGTCTTAGCAGAGGAAAGACGGACAATTTACCAAAGAAGACATCAACAACTGAGTCCTGAAAAGTTTAAATTAGAAGAACGGCTGAACAGCATTGACCGATGGCAGCAACTGTGGGATGTCGCAGTAAAGGGCAGATGGACGCATCGTCTCATTCCTAACATCAAAATCTGGCTAAGTCGCAAGCACGGCGAATTAAATTATTATACTACGCAAATGCTATCGGGGCACGGCTGTTTTCGAGCCTACCTACACCGCTTCAGGCACGATAGCTCGCCGGATTGCCCATATTGTTTGGGCGAAATCGAAGATGCTGAGCATGTGTTCTTCGTGTTGCACACCACGATTTGGTGCTCTACGAGATGGTGTGGAAAAGACATTGAGATGCAGAATTACCCCAGGTAATGTTGTTGGAGAGATGCTGACAAGTGATGCTGCTTGGAACGCCATAGACAGATTTGCAAGAGACGTTTTAATGGACCTGCGTTCTATAGAGAGAGAAAGGGCGAATGGGACTTCGCCCATTTAAAAGATAAGTATAATGTTTATGAATTATAACATTGATTATAACAAGTTAAGAATTTATTTCATTCTAGATCCTCCCCCCACGAAGTAATGCCTAACGGCGGTTTCCGTGGGAACCAGAGGCAAGGGCAAAGCGGAGGTTTTAGTCGGTATTATACCAAGGCGGTATCGAGTCCGACATACCCAGACAGAAGACCGTAAAAATTTTTATATATCTTTACGTTTCAAAACCTTCTAAACATTTTGGCATACCTTAGAAAAAATGGATGTATGTGTGTGTGCGTGTATGTGTGTGTGTATGGATACAAATATTCGTCGACGATTTTGGGAACATGGATGAAGCGATTTGAATAATTCAAAAAACATTCGTTTTGATAAGGAGACGTGCTGATTAGTTTTTGGTTAAGTCAGGTCTAGCCGTTCGGAAGATACGGGGCAGAAGGTGCCAAAAAGGATAACTCAGTTTTTAGGAGAACGGAGCATCCGATTTGAATAATTCAAAAAACATTTTACTTGTATTAACAAGATGAAGAACTAATCAAATTTTCATGAAGGCAGGTCTAGCGGTTTCGGAGATCTAGTAAAAAAAAGTAGAAAAACAGCCATTTGGCGGGCGAAAATGATCATTAGACATATGCACATCAAATTATCAGATGTTTTATAGAGATTTTAACAATAAGTATAAATTTTGTTTACATTCCTATGGGTTACGTGCCAATGTTTATCCGTTAGACGGCGGCGCTTCGATATTTCCTCTCTATGCAGTTCAAAAAAAAATCAGAATTTCCAAAATATTTCAAAATAAAGAAAAGAAAAAGAAAAGAAAAAAGGTAAATTTTTGTCAAAATTTTATAGTTTCTCAAAAATGTATTTTTTTCAGAGTAATTTTTTTTCAAAAATGTTAATCTTTTTAAAAAAAATAATTTTTGGTACGAGAAGTTTCAGCAATTTGCCTTAAGGCACGATGCCATGCGCCCCACTAGTTGTTATCATGAATCATAGAAAGAGCTTGTAATCCCCCGTTGAATTGAAACTGATATTAATTAGTTGAGTGTTGAAATATTATTAATTTATATAGTTTCAAGAATCTCATATAATATTTGTGATTGGTTTATTTTTGGAAGCCATCGACCAATTATATATTGACCTGTAATTTAGATGGGTCGAATTCAAAAAATTTGAATTTCTTAGAAAGACGTATTAATGGTAGAAGGACTATTTGTGGACATGATGCATTATAATGGAAGATAATATTTGATACTTCAAAATAGTGCAATAAGTATTGTTATTGATATTCTGTATGAAGAGAATTAAAATATATTCATATAATTTCATTGGACCAGGGTTGAGCCTTAGGCGTTAATAGAATCATAAAGAAAAAATGATAATGATCAAATTTAACTATGTGTATGTGACATATTGCATTAGTATCAAATCAATTAAATTTAAGATGTTGGAAATTTTAAATTTGTGACAATACAATTCTGATATTTTGAAACGGTCTAGTAGATATTTACCAAAATATAATGAACATGATTATCTATTGATATATTTCGGATAGTTTTTGTATTTTCAATATGAGTATGAAATGAAAAAATTGATTCTTTATCATAATTTTTTCAAAAACAGTTGCACTTAAAAGCTATTTAATGAAACTCAATAAACACTCGCTTTAAATCGGATTAGCACAACAGCCTTTATAATTACCCAATGGGTGCAAATTTTTTTTTATCTAGTTTTCGAAAAAAATAGAACCCAGTCTGTTCAAAAACTGTTCGAAATATATCTGGATCTAAGCTGATTAGTTTTAGTAAATATCTGAGGGCCTGCTTCTTCGAAATTAATTGTTAAATTTTTTAACATTTTTGTATGATGATCGAGATCGTGGACTAAATGAATGTCTAAAATATACATGCCGATAATATCGCCTTAATAAAAAATTCCACTTGTACCAAGATTTCATTTTATATCTATTTATTAGCCAAAAATAATTATATTTTGGTTCTGATAAGAAATTGCTGATAAGAAAAAGCTATTATAATAATATTTTTTATTGTGGAAACCAACAAGCGAATGAAATTGTTAACAGTGTTCACCACAGCCTGCAATAAAAAATCGCGAGCGTTTTTAAAATTATTGTTTTCATTGTTTTAAAAATGTTTTATAATGTTTAAATGTTTACAAATATTTTATCAAATCTATGTTAAGGAATTAATTGCAATCAATAAAATTATTTCTACTTCAGAGTTATGTGTGCAAATATGTAATTACTATATTTGATAGTATACACTAATTACTTATCTGAAACAATGTGATCAACTTCCTAAGTTCAAGAGTAAATTAGTGATTTATAGAAACTCACCGACGATTTCTGGGTAACCGCAACAGCAACCCGGCTGACTAGGTGCGCCGCCGTTGGGGTAGAAATCAGCGTGGCCTATAGGGTCCCAATAACCAAGGACACCACCGCAAGTGTGTATCACGTCAACAAATTCAGCATCTGTGAGGTCCAGCCTTCGATCGGGGGATGAAAGCAATCGAAAGCCGGGTAGCGCAGGGTCTAAGCCTAAGATAAATTGATTCAGGCAAGATCATTAATTAAGCAAAAGGAAAATCGGAACTACTAAGTAAGTTAATAAAATGAATATTAATACAGTTTAAAATATATTTTTTGTCTTTGGCACGTTAACTGTTTTTGCGTCATTTAACTGATGTGCGAGATCACTAAAAAAGGGTAAGATTTCAAAAATATTTGGAAATCTAATATATGTCAAGATCAATAATTTTTCTCAAATTTATTTCAATATTATATATTGAATTACCAGTAATTCTTGCAAGCTTGCCAGTGGTGACAAGAGAACCAGCATATCCGGCTGCATGGGCACCGAGACTGTGACCCACCAGGTGGACTCGATTCAAATCAGCTCCGTGGTGCTTCACCAAATAATCAAGCAGACGGGCTAGTTTTCCGCCAACAATCTAAAGAAACTCATATTTTAATCATCTACAGATAATACAATGATAATCACTTTAATGGAAATCGTCATGCCAATAGAATAGTTATTTAACTTATGCATATACATACACTAGCAAACCGGGCGAACTCCGTTTCACCACCAGATGGTTTCATTTTATGTAACAATTCGTTTGGTAATTAAAAGATGAAAGAAAAATTGCCTGCTGTTGAAATTGAATAAAAATTTCAACAATACGCGTGATTGATTTGATGGTTTCTAATTGAAATGATAGGAACTTATTTTTTTTACTTTTTTTGCACAATTTCACAGTGAACACAATGCCCGGTTTATCACCTGAAATTAACTGAGCAGAGAACAATGAGTACCTGTCAAACAAATGAGTGGCAGTCAAACAAAAAATATTAGTTTGCATGCTAAGTATCAGAGATGACGCTGTATGTGAGAAAAGAAAAAGTGTTTTCCGCTTTTCTGTTAAAATCTTTCTTAAATTTTCTTTGCTATAAACCGCGCGAAGCCCGAGACTCTCCAAAGAACGCAAAATCGTCGAAATCGGTTCGTGCATTCTGGAGTTATATCGTCAGGAAGGAAAACCCGACTTATTTTTATATAATAGATATATCAGAAATGACATATTATATCAGTCTTAATTAGTTAATATATAAATTAATTAATATAATAATAAGCCAAAAATGATACGGGTATAGTTGATTTTAGATTTAAAATAAAATTTTATGATGATTAAACTAAAATACCATAAAAATTTCCACTTTTTATAAACAATATTCAATAAACTTCTTTTGATAAATGTATCAATTATTAAAAATTATTAACTCTTACTCTTGTATCCTGCATTGGTATCGGATAAAATAAGTTTGAACTGAGTGGTGCCCAATCCACAACAATAATATTACAATCTCTGCTTTCCAGATAAGAGTTTCTGATGTCAACTGCAAAAGACGAATTTCCTCCTGACATCCAGCCATGAATCAATACCTTTGTCTCCAAAGCCGGGTTGAAATTCTCGATAGTCAATAATGAGGTTATTGGGTCTACTTCGTTTTCACGTTCTACTGGAGGAGGTTCTAATGACACAGGCTGCTTTGAAGATGATCTAAAATATAATATTTAAAATAATAGAGATGAGTATATGAGTGAAGATGAATTACTATGAAGATAGTATTAAGTTTATTCATTCATAATTTTTGCTCATTTGCAACCTGTAATAATAACTAGTCGCATTATGACTTATGGTAAGTTGCTGGAACTTTCCGTACTCCAATTAAAAATTCTAAGAATGAAACTAGTTCATAATCAATCAAACTTGATCAATGATTTAAAATTATTTAAAATTATTAATGAGATCATTAAACTATCATATACTATTTGCGTGCTAAATTGCGTGCTGAAATAGAAACGGAAGGTTTATAAATTTTAATATCTGTTTACCTATCTACCCTACCATTTCACTTGTGTTCATTCAATTGCTCTGTTCTCTCAAATACTTTATTTTTCATGTGCAGCTCAATTTATTCTGTATTTCCGAGACGACTAGACCAGCCTTTGCCAAAAACTATTCAGCACGTTTCCCCATTATCGAATACTTTTTAAACTAGTAGTGTAAGGCATCGTGCGTTAAGGCAAATTGCTAGAATTTTTCGTACCATTCATTTTTTTAAATTAATTTTTTTTTAAACTTTGAAAGAATTTGATTTTTGAGAAATTTTACATTTTTGAAAAAAATTTACTTTTTTGGTAAAAAAGCTTTTGAAAAAAAATGTTTATTTTTTATTTTAAATTATTTTGGAAACTTTGAATTTTTTTCAAAGCTATCACACTGCTATACGGATGAAATATCAAAGCGCGTAAGCGCCGCGTCGCCAATCATTTACTAGATCTCAGAAACCGCTACACCTGCCTTCCCAAAAATTTAATCAGGCTTTTATCCTCTCAATACAAGTAAAATATTTTTTAAATTATTAAAATCGCACATTCCGTTCTCTTAAAAACTGAGTTACCCCTTTTGGAACTTTTTGCCTCGTGTCTTCGAAACAGCTAGACCAGCATTTGCTAAAAGCTTATCAGCGCGTCTCCTTATCAATACGAATCGAATGTTTTTTAAATTACCCAAATTGGTTGATCGGTGTTCCCGAAATCGTCGACGAAAATTTGTACGCACACACCATATACATCCATTTTTAAGGCATGCCAAAATATTCAGAAATCTTTGAAATATAAAGATATAAAAATTTGCATATTCGATTTTTTGCCATTACAATAACTTATCCTACGGGATGTTAATAATTTAAAACTATTAATCCGTGGGCCCGAAATAGTGGATAAATTATTGCCTTATTCCTTTACAATACAGTCGCTAGCTACTTTGCAGACATTGATGAACTATTTACAGAATATTATGTATGGGTGAGACTGGAAATTCCGCCATATGTCAAACTAGTAGCATATGCACAATGATGTAGCTATAGTCGTTGTGACCAGGCACATTAATGAGATAGTAAGCTTATTTGACATAACTTTGAGAATAATTAGTCGCTGGATGAAAACAATGAATCTGCAATTGACACAACAAAAAAGTGAAGTTGTTCTTATAACAAGTAGAAAAAAAAAATAGAGACCTTCAAGCTAAAGATAAAAAATTTCGAGATTACATCAAAATTTTACATTATTTACCTAGGATGATGCTTGATTCTCGATTAAATTGTAATCAACGGGTGGAACACGTTAGTGCTAAAACGCCAGTAGTTAGGACGAGTCTTGCTCGACTCATGCCGAATTTTGAAGGCTCAAACAAAGCAAAAGAATCATTACTATCATTGTCGATTACTTCGATTCATTTTATGCTATTAAAATATAATAGCAAATAGTCATTTTTTTCAAAACGTATATTATTCTCTGTTAATATTTTATACACTGAAATTTAGTAAATATTTATAAAATTTAGTAAATATTTTACAGTAAATATTTAATATTTAAAATTTATTAAAAAATACTAGAGGTGTAAGGCATTGTGGCTTACGACAAATTGTTGGAACTTCCCGTACCGTAACGAAATGTTCGAGCAATATTAAATGTTTTCAAATAGATTATTATAAATATTGTAACATTGTCTAATATTTATAAGAATTATATGACCTGAATTGCAAAGTTATAATTATTTGTTTAAAGTACATTAGAACTTCAGTCAGAATTAAAATTAAAATCTAAAAAAATCTGAATTATTTTCGATGTACAAAAAAAATTTTTTTTTGGAAAAAAAAATTGGAAAAAAAATTGAAACAATTTTTTTTTTCCAAAAGCAATTATTTTGTTAAAAAAGCAGAAGTTCTTTGAATCATTTAAATAGGACGCTTAGTTCTCTCAAAAACTGCCATTTATTGCACATTTAGCTATGTATCTCCGAAACCGCTGAACCTGCCTTTGCCAAAAACTAATCACCTCTTTTCCCTATAATTACAAATCGAATGTTTTTAGATCATTCAAATCGGATACTCCGTTCTCTCAAAAATTCGATTTGTGTTTTGTGCACTTTTTGTTCCGTATCTCCGTAATGGCTAGACCTGCCTTTGCCAAAAACGAATCAGCACATCTCTCTGTTAATAGGAATCGAATGTTTTTTGAATCATTCAAATCGATTGATCCGTGCGCCCGAAAACGTAAACGAAAAAATGCGGACACAAAAAACACACACTCACATCCATTGTTTCTGAGGTATGCTAAAATGTTCAGAAACCTTCAAAACGTCGAGAAATGCTAAAATTTTCAATTTCGATTTTTACGGGAAGTTAAAAATGTATTAGTTATTTTTATAATGTATGTTTATATAAATAACATACCTAGTATATAATTCAAAAGTAATCAAATGTTCTTTCCTATTTTTGATTCTCCAGGACCTTCTGGTTGTTGCAAATAAATCACACGAGGTTTGTAATTGCCATCAGGAAAATACATCCATGTCTCGCCGTAGTCCTTAAATCGTTCGCGAAGATCATTTTTATATTCTTCACAATACGTCTCTGTAATACAAGTCTAATTAAAATTAAAAATATTAATTTATATGGAACTGTACAAATTGCAAAAATTATTTCATTCAACTGTTTGTGATCGTATTTTCTACGCATGATTCAATTGAGAATATTCATATTTTAAGAAATATAATATAAATATTTATATTGCAAAAGTTATATAAATAAACCTAATTTATTAACCATTGAAGTTTTGTTTTTACTCCGAAGTAAAACAATTAAGAGAGTATATTAACATAATCAACTATAAATGTGTCCAGATTTGCGCACCAATCGACTTATTTTGATATTACTGTCTTATTTTGCTATAAACGAATTGTAAGATAATATGAATGTTATTTGAAAATAGTTGTATAAATATTCATATGGTAATATTATTTGGTTATATTATTTTTGTTAAAAGTTTATTTTCTGAATATTTTACTAAAAAGTTTTGATTTTACTAAAACGGGTTTGATTTGAACTCGCCTTATTCGGTGCATTAGGAAGCTCATTGTAAATTTTGTTAATTATTTAATTATTATTAACGATTTATATATTTTTGGTAATTATTGATTAAAACCATTTTTTCTGGCTAGAATTTTTTGGTAAATCCCTTTATTCAAGCTTGAATAACTAGTTATTTCAGCTTTTGATTAAAATCGTATTATATTGATCTTTTTTAAATGAATTATTTTAGTTAAACCAATTAAATGAATTTTAAATAAAAAATAAAAACTACATTATACTTATACATTATTCTCACCTGGTATAAAATAAATCACAAAAAACACAATATAAAAACGCAACATTTCTACAATATTCTATTCTTTGAGTCACAATAGTTTATGGCAAAAAATATTAAAAGAATAAACTTTTATAAGTGGCAAGCATTAGGAAACTGACTAGTATTTCCAGTTTATTTATCAAGTCCTTGGAAAATTTCATAAAATTCAAGTTAAAACAAAACCATTGTTTTTAGAAGGAATGGTCAACTCGAGGGCGCTTTATCTATAACTGTATTCTTATGCAAATTTATGCGTTTGTAATTTCATGCGATAATGCTTTAATTCGTTTACCAAAATTATTCTAATAAATTAAATGTAAAAGATGTAACAGCAATTATATGGTCATGGAAACGCTAAAAATTGTGGACTTTGATTTGAATGCTTTACGATTACGCAAATAAATGATTGTGCTGATTAGTTTTTGGCAAAGGTAGGTCCAGCCATTACAAAGATACAGAGCAAAGAGTGCCCAAAATAGAAATCGAGATTTTGAGGGATCGGAGTATTCGATTTGAATGAACCAACTAGTGGTGAATGGTATCGTGCCTTAAGGCAAATTGCTGGACCGTAATTAAAAATCTTGGTACGGAACCCAAAAAAATGTACACAAAATGTGTAAACATTATTAAAATTTCTATATGATATCTGATAATTAGATGTACATATGCCCAATGAACATTTTTGACCGCCAAATAGCATTTCTTTAACTTATTTTTATTAAGAGTCCATAATCGCTGGACCTGCCATCCCAAAAATTTAACCAGTTGTTCATCTTAAGGTAATGTTTTTTGAATTGTTAAAATTTGACGCTCCCCGTATCTTCGGAACGGCTAGACCTGCTTTTGTTAACAACTAATCAGCACGTCTCCTTGTCAATACGAATCGAATGTTTTTTGAATTATTCAAATCGGTTAATCGGTGTTCTCAAAATCGTCGACGAAAATTTGTATCCGCACACACACACACACATACAGACACATACACACCTGGTAGTTTAAATTAGGTTGTCGTGGGAACAAAGTCGTTACTATTTTATTCCATAGTCGTGAAGGCATTAGCTGGCTCAAAAGCTGGCTTTTGAGGCGAGACATTACAATCTTATAAGGCCTTCCCCATGGGTTTTCCTCGACTTTATCCAGAAGTTCTTTTCAGCACCTGACTTTACTATGTTTGATAGCTTAATTTAGTTGCCGACGTGCCTGTTTGTATTCCCCTGCCATTTGTGCAGAATTTGTGAAACTATATCCTCGTTGAGAGATCCTTCTTTTCTTGTAGCACTCTTTACGAAGAGAGCTGATTTCTTG